AGCAAATTCCTAAGTGTACATGTAACGTGCAGTGTAAGACAATTCTAAGTGTTAATGTAAAGTGCATAAGGCAATTCTAAAGTGTAATGTAAGTGCATAAGGCAATTCTAAGTGTAATGTAAGTGCATAAGGCAATTCTAAGTGTAATGTAAGTGCATAAGGCAATTCTAAGTGTAATATAAGAGCAAAAAAGCAATTCTAAGTGTAATGTAAGTACCAATTCTAAGTGTAGTGTGCAATAGGCAATTCTAAGTGTAATATAAGAGCAAAAAAGCAATTCTAAGTGTAATGTAAGTACAAAAGGCAATTCTAAGTGTAATGTAAGTGCGTAAGACAATTCTAAGTGTAATGTAAGTGCATAAGGCAATTCTAAGTGTAATGTAAGTGCATATGGCAATTCTAAGTGTAATTAAGTATATAAAAACCTCTGATACTGACATATCTTGCCTATTACTCACTTATCACCGGAAATTGACCCTTGGGAAGATGTGCACGAAGGTGACTAATCGACTGCTCAGATATCGGTTGGTTTGGCCTGATTATTGCTCTCTCTCTCTTTCTCTCTCTTTCTCTCCTCTCCCTCTCTCTTTTCTCTCTCTCTCTCTCTCTCTCTCTCTCTCTCTCTCTCTCTCTCTCTCTCTCTCTCTCTCTCTCTCTCTCTCTCTCTCTCTCTCTCTCTCTCTCTCTTTATCTATTATCTCTCTATCTATTTATCTATCTATATCTATCTATCTCCCTCTCTCTGTCTCGCTCGCTTTCTCTTTCGTCACATGTATATCTATGGATATTCAACGTATAATATATTCACTTCCACATACATACATACATACATACATACATACATTACATATATTCAAAAAATGCATACACATATATACATACATTGCATGCATAATACATACATACATACATACGTACATACTTACATACAAACATACAAACATTCCTGCATACATATATATATGAATACATGTATGCATACATAATACACACATACCTGCATGCTCCATAAATCATGTAAAATCATGCAAACATACATGTGTGTGTATGTGATTGCGTGCGTTGTCGCCATTAATGTGTACCTACTTGACCTTTGACCTGTATATATACTTATCTACCTTTCTATCTATCATACTTTCACTCCTCCTCCTCCTACCCCTCTCCTCCCTCCCCCTCCCAGTCCCAGTCCCAGTCCCAGTCCCACTCCCTCTCCCTAACCCTCCTCCTCCCCCTCCCCCTCTCCTCCCCTTCCCCTCCCCTCCTCCTCCCCCTCCTCCCCCTCCCCCTCTCCCCCTCCAACAGAAGAGCATGAAGAAGCAATTTTTGCAAACTTAAGTGAGGGAGGAAAGGGGAGGGAGAGGGGTAGAGAGAGAGAGAGAGAGAGAGAGAGAGAGAGAGAGAGAGAGAGAGATGAGATGAGAAGAGAGAGAAGAAGAGAGAGAGAGAGAGAGAGGAGAGAGAAGAGAGAAGAGAAGAGACAGACAGAAACAGAAAGAAAAAACAACAAACAAAAAACAGAGAATTATACCACCCCTCCCTCTTCAACCCCCACCCCCCAACCCCACCCCAACCCCTTGCTAGCCTTCCATGCAAACCAAATCCATTTGTCCTCACTGTATTTTCATCCCCAACCCGTACCCGCCCGTACCCGCCCGTACCGCCCGTACCCACCTCGCACACTGCCGTACCCTATCGTACCTGCCGTACCGTACCCACCCAGGCCAGCAAAGGCTTGTACCCTTTGTACCCATAGCGAGAGAGAATTTCTTTGAGGGGGTAAGGGGTGGGAGAGGATGGGGGGGAAGGGAGGGAGGGAGGGAGGGAACGGGGAAGGGGGGAGAGGAGGGAATAAGAGATAGAGAAGGAGGAGGGAGGAGGGAGGGGGAAAGAGGGAAGGAAGAGAGAGAGAGGAGGAGAGAGGGAGATGTGGGAGGGGAAATGAAGAGGGTGGGAGGATTGGAGGAGGGAGGGAGGGAGGGAGGGAGGGAGGGAGGGTGGGAGGGAGGGAGGGAGGGAGGGAGGGAGGGAGGGAGGGAGGGAAGAAGAAAGATAAGGAGGGAGCGGGAGGGAAAGAGGAGAAGGAGGGAGATAAAGGTAGACAGTAAATGCGAGAATAAAAAATATATATGTAATAATAATAATAACAATTACATAAAAAAACAAAAACAAGAATATCCATAAGTAAAACAATCACAAAAAAACACGAAACAAACAAAACAAACAAGCAAATCTAATCTTGTTTTAAAACTTTTTAATAATTCATAACACTGACTCACTCACCCACCCCCACCCCCACCCCACCCACCCCCACCCCACCCCACCCCCCACCCCCTTCACCCTTTCCTGCCGGTCAGATAAGATAAGGACATCCGCGGGAACTTGTTACTACAGATAGATAAATTGATAGATAACAGATAACATTTCTCTTATCATTTTCGTGTTTTATTTATTTATTTATTTATTTATATACTTATTTTTTTATTTTTGGATTGCTACTATGTCTGTTTTTATTCATTATCTTTTAATGTTCCCTTTCTTATATTTTTTTATTTCTTATTTTTTTAAATTCCCTCTTCTCATTTTTATTTCCCTCTTACTCTCTCACTCTTTTTTTTGCATTGCTACTATGCCTGTTTTTATTCATTATTTTTCCTTCTTCCCTTTCTTTTGTCTTTTTTTATTACTTCTTTCTCATACTTTTCTCGTTTAATCATCTCTCTTTCCTTTTTCTTCTATTTATCTATTCCTTTCTTTATCACGTTTTTTTTCTCCATTCTCTTGCTCTTATTATTCATTTCTAATGTTTCTTAATCATCGTCGTCTATTCTTTTTTTATTTTTCTTATTTTTGCTTCATCTTCTTATCATTATTGTTGTCATTTTTATTCTTTTTCTTTTCATTTCCTTGACCTTTTTATCTTGCTTTATTTCCTCATTCTGCTTCTCCTTCTTCTTTATCTTCTTACCTTCCTTTTCCTCCTCTTCACATTCCACCCCTTCCTCCTCCTCCTCCTCCTCCTTTTCCTCCTCCCTCTCCATCATCTCCTTCCCCTCCTCCTCCTCCATCCTCCAACTTCCCCTCCTCCTCCTTTTCCTCCTCCTCCTCCTTTTCCCTCCTCCTCCTCCTCCTCCACCTCCCCTTCCTCCTTCCTCCTCCTCCTCCTCTCCTTTTCCTCCTCCCTTCCTCCTCCTCATCATCATCATCATCCAACTTCCCTCCTCCTCCTCTCCTCCTCCTCCTCCTTTTCCCTCCTCCTCCTCCTCCTCCACCTCCCCTTTCCTCCTCCTCCTCCTCCTCCTCCTCCTTTTCCTCCTCCCTTCCTCCTCCTCATCATCATCATCATCCTTCCCCTCCTCCTCCTTCTCCTCCCCTCCCTCCTCCCTCCTCCTCCTCCTCCTCCTCCTTCCTCCTCCTCCTCATCATCATCATCATCCAACTTCCCCTCCTCCCTCCTTCTCCTCCTCCTCCTCCTTTTCCCTCCCTCCTCCTCCTCACCTCCCCTTCCTCCTCCTCCTCCTCCTCCTCCTCTTCCTCCTTCCTTTCCCCTTCCTTCATTACGCATTCTCCTCCCTTTCTCGCTTCTTGCTTCCTCCTGAATAATCAAGATAAGCAACGAAAGCAATAAATAAAGAAGAACGAGAAAGACCTGAATGGAATAAGAGAAAACGGAGAAAGATATGACAAAGAGAGAAACGGAGATAAAGAAGGGTGAAGAGGAGAAGGGAAGTTGTAAAAAAAAAAAAAAAGAAAAAAAAAAATCGATTCTGATAACAAAGGGAAAAGGATTACATCTCTATAACTGTTTTTTTTTTTCTCACACACACGCGTATATGTATGTGTGGGTTGTGTACCTATCCACACACACACACACACACACACACACACACACACACACACACACACAC